GCAATGCCGGGCCGTGTTTAATGATAACGATGAGGCGATTTTCATTGGCAATGCCGAGTCGTGTTTAATGATAACGACGAGGCGTTTTCAGTAGATGATGCCGAGCCGTGTACAACGACAAGGCGTTTTTCATTGGACGATGCCGAGCCGTGTTTAATGATAACGACGAGGCGTTTTGATTATATGATGTTGAGCCGTGTATAACGACGAGGCGTTTTGTTTTTTTATTAACCAAAGATGATTTCGGGCTGTTCATTGAGATTTATCTATTCTATCACTGAGAGAGGTTCTCATTGAGGTGAGCTTTTTTAGATTGTTTTGAGAAAGAATTTCCGACTAATGCCGAAGTATTTTTCAAGTAAGTGATGTGTTTTATAGGCCTTGTTCTCTTTGAGAGACTGATCGTTCGTGAGGAAGAGTCGGACGTGGCAGCCAAAGTGTTTAGCTTGAGCCTGTTTTTTTCTTGCCGAGGCGTTAGCCCAGGGTTTCTCATTGACGAGGAAAAAGTTCAAGAGGATATAGTGTTCTCTTTGGAATATGACTATAGACCGGCGTTCCCGAGAGGGTGAGTGTGTTTTGCCGGTTTTTAAGAGTTCACTTCGGTTTTAGAGAAAGCGATGTAGTCTCGACTTATAATCTCGTGTGCGATAGTGAACTGTGGTGACCGATACGTTTTTGGTCTGAAATTTGTATAGCGCGCTTAATTTTTATCCATAGAGGATGTAACTTGCACCCTCGTCATAGGAAAGGTGGTAAAAGTCCGTTTAGAGAACTTTATATTTGTTGTCCCGTTGTGGCCAGCAACGAGACGAGGCGTACGGTGTTTGGATACCAAAGTAGAACTTTGCCGAAGCAATGCAAGATCAATGAAGATAAAGTGCTTTGTAAAACAAGTAAAATGTTTAGCCGACGTAAAACAAGTGAATAAAAAACTAGCCGAAGTGAAAGCAAGTGAACAAAAAAAAAAAACGAAGTGAAATAAATCTAGAGATACCTGACTTGACGAGCTAACAATTTAAGAAATGGTGTAAGTATGGTGTATACCTACCTACTCCCCCCCTTCCTTTTAGGAAGGAGGACAGCTGAACCCGTCCGAGGACGGGCTGCCTACGTATCCTTTGCAAGGATCAAGCTGTTCCGTAGTTCATGCTGGTCGTGGTGCATCCTTAGTGATAGTATTTCTTCAGATCTAGAGTTAAAATCGAGCTCTGGATTGCTGCTTTCGTCGCTTCGTACTGCTCGTCTAAATTCTTCATTTCTTCCTCATTTACGATAAAATCTGATGATCGATGCAGAGCGTCCTGAATTGTTTGCGGCGTGTTCAGCGCCATCTCCCTTCGAAACTCTGATTTATACCATAGGGATCGCTTTAGGGCTTCAAGGGCGGCCTTGTCACTTATTCCTTCTACTTTGGACACAACAGCTTTGAACCTTTCCATGTAATCCCGAAGCGGTTCGTTAGGTCCTTGAGATAACGTCCATAGATCGGCATCGGAGGTGCCTCGGTCCATGAACATCGAGTACTGCTTCAAGAACAAGGCGGAGAGCTGCTGGAAGCTGTTGATCGAATTACGTTCTTGCCTTGAGAACCATTCTAGTGCGGCCCCTTTGAGATGCTCTACAAACAGCAGACAATAACCGGCGTCTTTTTCTTGCTTGGTCAGGTTGGCAGAGTTCCTCGTGAAGGCTCGTCCCATTGCTATACGGAACGCCGTGATATGAGCTTTCGGGTCGGTGGTTCCTTCATAGAAAGGGATCCTGACTTTTCCGGGCTCGGGGATCCTAGCCTCTGTGATCCTCGTCGTGAACGGGGTTCTTTGGGTTTCCTCGAGCATTCGATCAATCTCCGGCGCGGCACTTGTCGCATTATGCACTTGAGATTTCATGGCGCATATCTCTGCCACTGTCCGAGCCATTGAGGCTCGCAACTCTTCGATCTCCAAGGTCTGCGTGCGGGTCATTCTCCTAGGTGGGCGAGGTCGCTCCTGGCCTTCTTTCCTCGGCTGGTCTTCGAACTCTGCCTGCTCGACCCATTGGAGATTTTCATCTTCCTCAGTTGGATCGTTATCGTGAATCGGGTCGTCGACTTCGTCAACTTGAATGCCATTTAGTGTTGAGGCGAGCCAAGCTGTTCTTGACTTATCCGCCGAGCCAAGCTGTTTTGTTGCGAGTTCCTGGTTCTGTCGTTCTCCTCCTCATCGCCTCGTCGCCTTGAATTCTGACGAAGCGGGGGCGGCTCGGTCATGTTGACTCGGGTAGCTGCGGGAGTTTGTTCGCCGAGGGGACGAAACATTAGCGGAGCCATGGGATTTCTTATGCCGCTACCGGATGCTCCTGCAGATGTCGAGAAATCGATGTGTCTCCTGACTCTATCTGTCGGATCGGAGATCTTGCCTCTCCAAGTTGGGTGCCGTCTTTCTGCCATCATTATGTCAAGTCTCTCCGTAATCGCCTCGTTCCTCTTGTCATGCTCATCGATTTTCTTCATCAACGTGGCCATCATGTTTTGCATCTCCTCCTGGGCTTCGGTGGTTGTCGTTGTCGTGCTTGCTGGTGGAGCGTCTTTCTCCGCGCCGTTGTTGTTGTTGTTGTCTCCGGGTGCGTCGGTTGCCATGTTCTTCGGATCTTTAGCTCTTGACGATATTGAGTTAGAAAATTTCGAGTCCCCACAGACGGCGCCAAATTGTGTGAGCCTAAACTCGCATAACCAAAAATTTGTTAAGGAAAACTTAAAGGGATCTGAAATTTCTAAGGTTTATCGCAAGAACAGTAAGATCAAAAGAAGGTTTTTGCTGAAAAGTGTTTAAGTCTTATTACTCTCGAGTTGTGAAAAATTACATCATGAATTGTTTACAGCGACTATTTATCTAGAGTCTATGAATCGCCTAGCCGAGAATCTCGGGAAAGATTTTCGGAATATTTTCTTATCGCTTCGTGCGGCCGCCGCCATAACACTTTGCCTAGGGTTTTTATGGGCCTAGGTCCTTTACGATCTTGGCTCATCTCATTGAAGAAGGACTGGCTCAGCCCAACACGAAGAAAAGCGGCTCGGCCCATTCTCCCTCTTGCTCAGCTCGGCCCACTCTTTGTTCTTCTCGCGGCTTGGCCCATTTATCTTCTTCCACGGCTCGGCCCATTTATCTTCTTCCACGGCTCGGCCCACTCGTCTTGGTGAGCACAGCTTGGCCCACTCGTCTTGGTGAGCACAGCTCGGCCCACTTGTTTTATGGGACGGCTCGGCTCATATTCGGTGTGCAGCTGTTCCTTCTTGCCAAATCGGTTTTCTCCAGTACTTAGTCATTTTTGAGATGGTTTTATCCGCTTGGGGTGAAACCGACCCCAACAGCTGACTTGGATCTCCCGCTATCATAGACTTTATGACCCATCTCTCTCCATAAATCAAAATCAGGCTCTTCTTCGAGATGAATGCCATCAGTGTATGGAAGCTTAAGATCTTCACAAAGTGCAGAAATGGTGAGTGAGTAGGACTTTCCGCGGATAAAGAATGATAAAATACCGTCAGATGCTCTGGAGCTCCTCCTCTTCGTGTGGTGAAGGGTGACGGTTGCTAAGAACTCGCAAACTAGCTCGGAATTAGTTGGAAGATTCATCTCCATGTAGGATCTCAACCTAAGTGCATCGATGTACCAGATGACATCTTCAATAATCCCAAGCATCTCGAGTGTATGATAATCAATGCAGGGCGTTGGTTTGATGTTCAACTTCTTGAATCGCCTTGCATAATCGACTCTTGTGTTAATCTCCTTCCCAATGTGATATAATCCTAGATGAGGATCAAGCCCTGGATTACTCTCCAATGCTTGTGAATTCAGTAAGTGGTGACTTGAGGGGGTTGCGGAATGAGGTGATTTGAAATAGCTTGTGAAATAAGGAAGGATAAGGTGAGATCGCCTTGATACTTCTAAGAGAGATGACAAATCTCTTAGACTATCAACATAATTTGGTTAATTTGTAAGGCAAGGATAAAGATCCAAATACACTTAACAAACACTGATCAAACGATTTCAGAGAAAGAGATTATTAGAAAGGGTTTGATAGATTGAAAAGAAGGACAAAGGGTTGTTGGCCGCGGTCGCGTGCTTTGCTGGCCGTCTTCGAGTGGCTCCGGGGCAAATGGAATATCTTGAGATCCAACCGTTGGAATGTCTCCAAACCAAGTGCATTTGAAAGCTGGTTGATTCTTCTTATAAGTTGTCCAATTTTGAGGGTGATCAGACGGTGAGAAGGTCTTCATCTCTCCATGAGAGTTCTGACGGTCTGCATTTATTCAAAAGAGTCTTTTTGTTCCAATTTGTGCCTCTTTATCCCAAATTACCTGAAAAGTCTTTTAAAATCCGGAAACATAGAAATCCTTTGAAAACCTTTGAAAATGGAGTAAAAACACCTGTAAAAGATATTAAAGTGATCCATAAAAATGGTCAAAATCCGGTGTTATCAGGGACAAAACCAAACCAAGGGAAAAAGAGCACAAGTCACAACACCTCTCTTGATGAACTCTTAAGTGGCTTGTATCACAACCAGTGTAGTTGGATTAGCACACTTAAGATTGCCCTGAATCGTGTGTAATAACTTATGAAAAGCTTGCTTGAACTTCATTGCCCTTGATCTTGTCATTGGACCAATCAGAAGATGCAAGTCTTTGTCTTCATCTATACTTGCTTCCTCGGGTTTCAGCTGCTCCTGGTCTCCAATAGGTTCTGGTTCATGCTCTCCTTGTTCTCCATTAATTTCCTCAGTTCCAAAGCTGGTCTTGGTCATATCATCCTCTCCCACTTGAAAAAGATTTGTCCTCAAATCTGTATCTTCTGCAAGAAAAGGAACTAAGTCAGAAACATTGAAGCTTGAACTCACAGAATACTTACCTTGACGGTCCAGCTGGTAGGCATTATCATAGATCTTCTTGATGATCTTTAAGGGGCCATCAATTCGTGGCATAAGCTTAGACTTTCTTTCATTTGGAAATTGGTCTTTCCTTAAATTCACAGCATGTCTCCTTCTTCAAAGATCATTTTCTTTCTGTTCTTGTTAGCATGTTTGGCATAGTACTTAGTCTTGTTCTCAATGTTGATACGCGTCTTCTCATGGATCTTTTTGACTAGCTCTGCCTTTTTCTTCCCATCTAAACTAACTCTTCACTCAAAGGTAAAGGCATTAGATCCAAAGGTGAGGTGGGATTGAACCCGTAAACAATCTCAAATGGAGAAAACTTAGATGCAGAATGCTTATCATGATTATAAGCGAATTCAACATGTGGTAGACATTCTTCCCAAGTTTTAAGGTTTTTTTTAATCAATGCAGGCAACAAGGTAGACAAGGTTTCTATTAACTACTTCTGTTTGACCATCTGATTGCGGATGACATGTAGTAGATAAAAGCAGTTTAGTTCCTAACTTAGACCAGAGAGTTTTCCAAAAGAAACTAAGGAACTTAGTATCTATATCAGAAACTATAGATCTAGGCATGCCATACAATCTTACGACATCTCTAAAGAACAACTTAGATACATTCATGGCATCATCGATTTTATTACATGGGATGAAATGAGCCATTTTAGAGAACCTGTCTACAACCACAAAGACAGAATCCTTACCTGTCTTCATCCTAGGCAATCCAACTACAAAGTGCATAGAAATATCATGCCATGGATGCAAAGGAATAGGCAAAGGAGTATACAAACCGTAGGGTTATTTCTTAGCCTTAGCTTGCTTGCAAGTAACACATCGCTCACATGCCCTCTCGATGGCTTTCTTCATATGTGGCCAATAAAAGTGTTCTTGGACTGTGCTAAAAGTTTTGGCAACGCCAAAGTGACCCATTAGTCCACCTGCGTGAGCTTCTTTGACAAAAAGATCTCAAATAGAAGAGTTAGGCACACATAGACGATTTTCAAAGAATATGAAATCATCAGCTCTATAGTATTTCCCACTACCAAACTTCTCACACGAAGCATATATATCTTTGAAATGAGCGTCAGTGGAATATAGACTCTTAATGTGTTCAAAACCTAGCAGTTTAGTCTCTAAAGAGTTCAAGAGAACATACCTGCGAGATAATGCATCAGCCACCACATTATCTTTACCTTTCTTGTACTTGATAACATATGGAAAAGTCTCGATGAACTTGATCCATTTAGCATGTCTTTTGTTCAGTTTCTGTTGGCCCTTAAGGTACTTAAGAGATTCATGGTCAGTGTGAATGATGAATTCCTTAGGCCAGAGATAGTTTTGCCATGTTTGAAGGGCTCTCACAAGCGCATAAAGCTCCTTGTCATATGTAGGATAATTCATTGTAGCTCCTCCAAGTTTCTCACTAAAGAATGCAATGGGTCTCTTCTCCTGTATAAGAACAGCACCAATACCAATTCCTGAGGCATCACATTCTATCTCAAAACTTTTATTAAAGTCAGGGAGAGAAAGCACCGGGGAATGAGTAAGCTTATCCTTCAAAGTTTGAAATGCTTCTTTTTGATCTTGTTCCCATTTGAATCCCACGTTTTTCTTGATAACCTCAGTGAGGGGCGCTGCTAGAGTGCTAAAGTCTTTGACAAATCTTCAATAGAAACCCGCAAGTCCATGAAAGCTTCTTACTTCACTAACAGACTTTGGACTTGGCCAGTTTTTGATTGCCTTTATCTTTTCCTCATCAACCTTGATTCCATCTGCACTCACAACAAAACATAAAAAGACAAGGTTATCCGTTCCAAAAGTGCATTTCTTTAGATTCGCATACAAGGTTTCCTTTCTAAGAACTTCTAAAACCTTTCTAAGATGCTCCACATGTTCATCTAAGCTTTTGCTGTAGATTATAATGTCATCAAAGTATACCACAACAAAATGACCTATATAAGCTCTAAGAACATGATTCATTAGTCTCATAAACGTGCTAGGGGCATTAGTTAATCCAAATGGCGTGACTAACCATTCGTATAAACCCTGCTTAGTCTTAAAAGCAGTTTTCCATTCATCACCCTCTTTCATTCTAATCTGGTGATATCCACTCTTAAGATCTACCTTAGAAAAGATGCTAGAACCATGTAATTCATCAAGCATGTCATCTAATCTAGGTATAGGGTGTCGATACTTCATCGTGATATTATTGATGGCTCGGAAATCTACATACATTCTCCAGCTGCCCTCTTTCTTTAGAACAAGTAAAACCGGTACTGCGCATGGACTCATGCTTTCATGAATGTGTCCCTTGTTCATGAGCTCAGTGACTTGCTTTTGTAGCTCTTTTGTTTCCAAAGGATTGGTCCTATAGGCTGGTTTTGTTCGGAAGTTCACTTCCGGGTATAAAATCAATCTGGTGCTCAATACCGCGTATTGGTGGCAAGCCTGGATTCTCCTCTGGAAACACATCTTTGAATTCCTGAAAAAAGTAGTTTTATCTTGCTAGGAATATCCTGGGTAGGCGTGTTTAAGTTAAAGCATTCTTTAAAGACTAGTAAAAACTTTGGGAGTTGACTGCCCTTTGGTTTAGTGATCATGAGGCTCGTAGATGGAGAGATTGTAGAAGTAGTTTGCACTTTGCTCTTCTTAATAGCGATCTGATCTTGCTGAACTTCTTGTGGAGTTAATGGGAGCAGAGTAGTCTTCTTGCCGTGATAGTCAAATGAATAACAGTTGTTGAAGCCATCGTGCATAACCCTTCTATCTGATTGCCATGGCCTCCCAAGTAAGATATACCCTGCATCCATAGGCAAGACATCACACAGAATTTCATCTTTGTATTTGCCTATCGATAATGGCACCATAACTTGATTTTTGACCTCCATTTCTCCTGCCTCATTCAGCCATTGTAACTTGTAAGCTTTCGACCTTTTCATCACTTTTAACCCCAACTTTTCTACCATAGACTCACTGGCCACATTAGTGCAACTACCGCCGTCTATGACTAGGCTGCACACCTTGCCTTGAACTATAAATCAGCTATGAAATAGTTTTTCCCTCTGCTCATCTCCCTCGGTCTTGGTTTGAACATTCAGAGTCCTTCTAGTTACTAACAGTTCTCCTCGAGCAGGCATCTCTATTTGTTCCTCATCATCGGATTGTTCTTCTTCAGTTTCCACTTCTCCATTGTCTTTAATGATCATTATCTTGCTACTCGCATAGTGACCATACCCCTTGCACTTGTAACACTGAATATCCCTATTCTTGGAGGTAGTCACCACTTCTTTTCCTTTGACGCTCTGTTCTTCACTTTTAGACTTGGAGAACGGCTTAAACTCTTTTTGAAAACTCGTTTTCTCATCCTTCTGATAACTTGGCTTGTTGGAACCATAGCTAGGCTTGTAGTTTCTTCTCTTGAGCTGTTTCTCGAACATAATAGCCTTGTGCAACAGTTCCTACAGCTCCACATAGTGATGCACCTCTAAACGATCTATAATTTCTCTGTTTAACCCCCCCCCCCCCCCCCATGAACCTAGCCATCGTTGCTTCCCTGTCTTCACGAATATCAGCCCTCATCATAAGATTTTCCATCTCCTTGTAGTATTCTTCGACAGATCGGCTTCCTTGGGTTAAACTTCTGAGTTTGAAATGCAGCTCTCTGTGGTAATGACCTTGTACAAATCTTCTTCTCATGATGGACTTCAATTGGTTCCATGATTTGATGGGATCTTCTCCTATCCTTCTTCTTGTTGTAAATAGGTTATCTCACCAACTTAGAGCCTAATCTTTAAACTCTGTTGGGGCCAGGTTCAGCTTGTGTTCAGTGGTGTAGTCTCGGCAGTTAAATACAAGTTCAATCTTCTTCTCCCATTCCAAATACTCTTCAGGATCAGCCGTGCCTCTGAATTCAGGAATTGTGAGCTTGAGGCTGCCCATATGATCAATAGTCCGTGGCTTCCTTTCTTCTCTATCGCTTCCTCTTCTCTTTGATGAACGAGCCCTAGAGGAGTTGCTATAGTATTGCTCCGAAGTCGAATGGTCACTGCTCTTTCTTGGTTTGTCCGAGACCATCTTCTCCATGTCAGATCTCATGCTTTCAAACTCCTGCTGCATAAGAGACATCATTTGAGTCATCATGGCGACCATCATAAGTTTGTTCGCTGGTTCACTTGGATTTGCAGGGTCTTCTTTCTCATGAACCGATTCCTCCATTGTACCTGTTCAGATGACAGACAAAATACCAGTAAAAGAGCTCACACAATACACAGACTAGTTTTAAAACTGATCAAATCTGATACAGAACATGATACAACTGTTGGAATTTCAGAAACCCTAATTCTTTCTCTCTACGTTTTCTTTGAATTTTCTGGTGACTTGTAAACATAACTAGATAGATCGGATGCTAATGAACACGATCTCGACTAGTTTCACACAAAACGTCATGATCAAATCAGAATATGAAAAGTCACAAATTGTTAAACACGAAAAGACACAACTGGGTTTGGAGATTTGCTCTGATACCACTTGATATGATCCTAGATGAGGATCAAGCCCTGGATTACTCTCCAATGGTTGTGAATTCAGTAATTGGTGACTTGAGGGGGTTGCGGAATGAGGTGATTTGAAATAGCTTGTGAAATAAGGAAGAATAAGGTGAGATCACCTTGATACTTCTAAGAGAGATGGAAGATCTCTTAGACTATTAACATAATTTTGGTTAGTTTGTAAGGCAAGGATAGAGATCCGAATACACTTAACAAACAATGATCAAACGATTTCAGAGAAAGAGATTATTAGAAAGGGTTTGATAGATTGAAAAGAAGGACAAAGAGTCCTACCTATAGAGTCTTGAAACACTTGGAAATAACAAAGACAGCTAAGACAACTTAAAGACTCAACGACTAAGACTTAAACTAATTTGAAATTGAAATAGGCTCCTGTCTTCTTGATTGAGTCTGGTGAACGAAATGGGCTAAGTTTTCATCAAGAGGCCTTTTGTAATAGTGTTGTGAACAAGCCTCATTAAAAACCTTGTTTGGAAAATCCAATTGGGACTGATGTCGTGTCAACTGCGTGAGGGAACAAGTTTTACCCTTAACAAAACAAATGAAAGCTGCAAGTGCACAGCTAATCAGTTGTAGTATTTAGGGATCGAATCCACAGAGATTTGTGTGCCTGGTATTCTTCTACGGTTTTTAACTTTATGTCTAGACTAGATTGGTTTTAAAGGGGGGTTGTTTATCATGAATTAAACTAAAACAAAAGAAAGCAAATAAATCTATCCTAGAAAGCAAGTATAGAAATCGAATGAAAGGCTAATAAAGCAAGTAAAATATCGAATGAAAGACTAGTAAAGCAAGTAAAATATCGAACTAAGGGAATTGAAATGCAGGTTTAAGTAAGCAAATAAAAATCGATGGAATTGTAAACTATGGCTAAAAACGCTGAGCTTTTGGGAACTCTAAGGGATCATAATCGGTTTTGACACTAGGGTAGATAGATTGGGATTGACGGATATCGATATATAGGGGTTCTAGAGCTAGAGTACGGCGGTATGACTACGTCACTGTCGTGATCATAACCAACTGTTTCTCGCAACCCTGACCAGTAGGTTTCCACTCTGGCCCTGGAAGGGAGAGAACGTAAGAGCTGCACAAGACTCGTCAATACTCACGATCTCGCCGCAGGTACGTTTCCACTCCTACGGAAAAATCGCCTGTTTCATTCTAGGGCTGATACTTAATGAAAACTTTCGCAACACTAACTATCTAGATCAGATACTAGGTGATCAATCAAGCATACATGCAATAAGAACAAGAATAAACAGAGAACAGGTCGAAATCCCAGATCTATAAACCTAGATGTCTTAATCGATTATGAGAGCCCCTTTTGGGAACCCTAAGCCCAACTCGGGGTCTACTCAGACATGGCTGAGGTCGACATCATCATTGGTTTTAATAAAAGTAATGAAAAACAGTAAAGAAAAGAGATAAAGAAGGCTTCTCTATTGAAGAACTCAGACTTGAACAATCTTCTACAAAAATCTCATATAAACGGCTAAAGGAAAAGAGTTTCTGTAAAGTATGAAGGGTTGTTCCTAAAAACGACCTAAATGACATGTATTTATAGTCTCCAATACTCCATGGTCTCTAGGGTTCCGGAATTGAGGCTGAGAATGACTTTGGGCTTCAGATATATGGGCTTTAGTTCGGAGCTTGATGGCCGCGGTCAGGAGTGACGTGACCGCGGGGATTGAGTGGTTGGCCGCGGTCGGGAAGCTTCTGACCGCGGGAAATAGGTTGTTGGCCGCGGTCGCGTGCTTTGCTGGCCGTCTTCGAGTGGCTCCGGGGCAAATGGAATATCTTGAGATCCAACCGTTGGAATGTCTCCAAACCAAGTGCATTTGAAAGCTGGTTGATTCTTCTTATAAGTTGTCCAATTTTGAGGGTGATCAGACGGTGAGAAGGTCTTCATCTCTCCATGAGAGTTCTGACGGTCTGCATTTATTCAAAAGAGTCTTTTTGTTCCAATTTGTGCCTCTTTATCCCAAATTACCTGAAAAGTCTTTTAAAATCCGGAAACATAGAAATCCTTTGAAAACCTTTGAAAATGGAGTAAAAACACCTGTAAAAGATATTAAAGTGATCCATAAAAATGGTCAAAATCCGGTGTTATCAGGGACAAAACCAAACCAAGGGAAAAAGAGCACAAGTCACAACACCTCTCTTGATGAACTCTTAAGTGGCTTGTATCACAACCAGTGTAGTTGGATTAGCACACTTAAGATTGCCCTGAATCGTGTGTAATAACTTATGAAAAGCTTGCTTGAACTTCATTGCCCTTGATCTTGTCATTGGACCAATGGAAAGATGCAAGTCTTTGTCTTTGTCTATACTTGCTTCCTCGGGTTTCAGCTGCTCCTGGTCTCTAATAGGTTCTGGTTCATGCTCTTCTTGTTCTCCATTAATTTCCTTAGTTCCAAAGCTGGTCTTGATCCTATCACAATGTATCTGATCTTTGGTGGCTCGGGAATCGCATGGGTTTCTCGTGAGTGTAGGAGCAGCCTCATAACTTGACCTCTTGTTTTCGGTTTAGCTCTGCTCAGCATATACTCTCCAAGAGTACTATCATCGGGTATTGCTGATAACACCGTATTTTGACCACTTTTATGGATCATAATTATGTCTTATGCAGGTGTTTTAACTCTGTTTTTAATTATTTTTAAAGTGTTTTCAATGTTTTAGAGTTTCAAAAGAGTTTTCAGGAAACATGGGCAAAAGATATGCAATTTGGAACAAATGAGCAATTTTGGATAAATGCAGACCGTCAGAAGTATGGCAAACGATGAAGACCTCCTCACCGTCTGATCACCCCCAAAATTTTAGTCAACATAGAGGATCCAACCAGCGTTCTAATGCATTTGGTTTGGAGACATTCCAACGGGTAGATCTTCAGATACTCTCGATGCAAGAATGACAAAAAATTCATTTCCAGAAGAGAGCAACGAGCCGGGACCGCGGCCAACACCTATTTCCCCGTGGGTAGGACCACCGCGACCGCGGCCATTAGTCGTTCACTTTCAAGACGACTTAGTCAAAGCCCAGATCAATTCCTTTTGTTATTTTTGAAGCCCTAAGTGTCCAGAACCACCCCAGAAGCTATAAATACCCCCTTTAGGTCATTCTTAAAGGTAGGTAGACGACATAAGATAGAAAGAGAGAGAGATTTCGTGTAACCCTAGAGAGAAGGAGCCACCGTCTCGAAGAGGAGCTGCCGCAGGAGTGACCATTGCGCCTCCTTCTGCTTCTCCGTTCTTCATTCTTCTTCCCTGTTCTCTTTAATTTCCTGCAACTTTGAATACTCTGTGATGATTGCTTACAATATGTTTGAGTAGTTACTCAGTTGGGTTCAAAGGGATTTTTCAAAGGGAATTTCGTGTGTCTTTGCTTATGAATCGATAGATTTAGGATTATTAATCTTCTAGATGTTCTTCGTTTGCCTTTAATCTTACTGCTTGATTTTTTGCTGGCCACTTAGAAACCGATCTGATGTGATATGTTGCGAAAGTTTTCATTGATTGTCTGAACTAGGGTGAAATGAGCAATAATTCTATAGGAGTGGAAACCTACCTGTAGTTGAGTTGTGAATGTTGATGAGTCTTGTTCTGCTATTGCATCTTGTCCCTTCCAGGATCAGAACTGAAACCTAGTGATCAGGGTTGCGAGAGATAGTTGTCTAGTGCTGCGAAAGTAGGCTATTCATACTTCCGTGCCTCGAGTTTTAGAACATACGTAGTTGATTACCTTTATAACTTGTTTAAAATCGACATAGCCTAGTCCATGAATCCCTGCGATACCCCTTGAGCCCCAACGTTTGTCTTTAATTGCTTACAACCTTCGATTTCATTTGCTTTTCATTCGCTTATTTCCTTGTTTCCATTCTACTTTTATTCGCTTATTACGTGCTTTTATTTGCTTTCGTTTCAATTTCTTTTATTTTCTTTGCTTTCTAGTTTAGATTTAGTGACAACCAAAACCCAAAACCAAAACCCAAAACTGTTTAGTTCTAGTCTGATTTAAGAATTGTAGTGAATTCGTACTGAAACAACTAAGTCTCTATGGATCGATACCTTAAGTACTACAACGCACATTTGTGCACTTGCAGACATTTAGGGGTTATAAATTTAAAACCTGAAGCTTAGTACAACGAACCAATACCCCGTTTACAATCGCATCAAGTTTTTGGCTCCGTTGCTGGGGACTTTGATTTGTTTCGTTGCGAATCCCAGCTTAAATCCATTAGAACGCTTGTTTACTTTTACTTTTGCTTTTGAATTTTTCAGGTTTCTCTACAATGAGAGACCGGGAACATGTTCCCGGGACTCTTGGTGATCCACCGTATTGTGTGGATGGTGATCCAAGTGATGATGACCTGACTGATGATGAGTTTGAAGAACCGATCTATGATGACAATGAGCTAATCGGATCGGCAAAACATGAAGATGATGATGAACTGATTGGAAATTTCGATTCACTTGAGAAATTCTTGGGAGATCGAAAAGCTATTTGATAATACCTGATTTTGACCACTTTTATGGATCACTTTTAATATCTTATGCAGGTGTTTTCACTCAGTTTTAAAGGTTTTTAAGTGATTTCTATGTTTTAGAATCTCAAAAGATTTTTCAGGATATTTTGACAAAAGGAATGCAC